GGCGCTTACCGCGATGCACTGCCTCATAATGCAGGACTGTTTCATGCGGCCAGGCCCCCCAAACTTCTTCATGTCCTTGCAGAAATGACATTCGCCGCACTCTGTCCTCAGGCAGGCCTCGCACTTGCGACATCGCGTCCTCCTCCGACGTGCGCCTGCAGTCGTCCGGTTCGCCGCAAGCTTCACAGCCGAGGAAGGGCCCAGTTTCCCCTTCGGACGCCCAACTGCCCGGTTCTGGGAAAGGAAGAGAGAGGGTGGGGGTTTTAAAGGCTGACCACCTACTATACCACTGGCTCTTGCGAAGCCACTCCCGTTGTGGGTCGATACCCTTGTAGGGAACGAAGCAGACGTTACGGCTTATGATAAACTTCGGTTACCATTTCCTCTTTCTGCAGACCTAAAGTGACAGCTCTTTCTGAGTCGGGATGGTACGGAAAAACCACAAAACGCGATTAAAGAGATGCAGGCGGCAGAGGCCGGTCAGTAATAAGAGGTTTCCGGCTTCGCCGTTGTACAAACTCAGCCAGATGGACCCTGAAGACGCAGCGGGAGTAGCCGTAAAAGAATTTGTGGTGAGTCAACTTGGAAAGTATTAACACACAAGGAAAGATTAAAAACACCTCACAAATTGGTTGTAACAAGAGAAAGCCTGTTAATGGTTAACACGTCAGGCTAGAAACTAGGAGATGGTGAGTTCTAGTTCCATCTTAGGCATGAAAGCTGGCTTGATTATTTTGGGCGAATCTCCAGGTGACGGTGAGTTCTAGTCTTGCCTTAGGGATGAAAGTGACTTTGAGCCAGGTCTCCCCTCCCACAGGGTTGCTGTTGTGAGGAAAATAGGAGGACGAAGGAGTATTAGGTTCGTTCGCTGCCTTATAATAATAATAACATTCCAGTGCTAGAAATGATTCCTCAAATTAGCCATGATGGGCTTCCTTCACATAATATGCAAAGCCATCCACAGTTGGTTGTGGTTTGCGTTCAAGAGTTTATGCTTAGCATTGCAGTTTATTCCATCTGTGAGAATTAGGCAAACCATATTATGTGTGAATGCATCCCTAAACTCCAAAATTAACAAACCAATAAACATATCATATAATTATTATAAATATATAAACGATGTGTACATTTGATTTATTGTGTTCCATTTGGAGTTAAGTGTTTGCTGGTGCCAGCCAAGTCATAGTGATGGACCTCAGTGAGATGTAACACACACCAGCAAACTTCCACTCCCGTAAAATCTTTTGTTTTTAGCAGGTTGAGAATTTTTATAACCCTTTTTAAAAAAAAAACTAATATTTGGTTTTGCTGTCTGTTTTTCCCATTTTTCCATGCTGTTTGGTGTGTGTTGTGAAACACCCAGGATTGTCTGGAGTTGGGCATCATCGAATTGAACAAACAAATAAAATAAATATAACTGGAAAATTTGCCTGGAAATTTCATCCATGCATCAGCTGCAGAAAACAGATAGTAAGAAATAGTAAGAAGTTTTTCAGCAGCCATTTTTATAGACTTACAGATTGTTTTATCAGATCCTTTGATGGTTTTCCAGGACTAAGTGAAGACACTAAACGGATCAATTAAAAAATAATTTAAAATATTTGACAAGGCCCAACATCAGAACTGAGATTGGCTTCACATGCAGCTCTTAATTTAAAACAATGACCACAACAAATAATTATTTTTTTAAAAAAAAATACATTCTAGGAGCTACAAAAATTCCCCTTCCAAAATGCTCATGTAAGGTAGATCCCTAAAATTAGATCCACCTTATTTAAAAATAATAATAATTTCTACAGCCACCCACCTCAGCCCACTGACTCCAGGTGGTGAAACAATCCTAAAACAATTTTTTAAAAGTGTTCATTTAAAAAAATAATTAAGACTGTTTGGTGTTTTCAAAACCCAACCACAAAAGTAATACACCTACACCGAATTCATGGCCCTGGATAAATGAAATGTTAAAAAGGCAGAATAAGGAGATATAGATGACCAGTCCAACAGCAAATTAAGGAATTAAATATATTTTCAGTTGGATACTGGAAACGAATTTGAGATACATCAAGAGGGCCAGGTAAAATATTTACACCTTTGTTCTAAGTGAATCATGGTAAGAATATTTTTTTAAAAAAGGTTGCTTTTTCACTTCTAAATACTGGTGCAAATTTAAACTGGTAAATCCTAGTAGTTTCTAAAAAATTGGCTCTGCTCTCAGTTGGGGTGGGTGGTGTTTCTTTTCTAACCCCCCTGCCCACATTATATGAGCCCTTTTAAGATGCCCCAGGTATTTTCTTGTATTTACTGCAAGGGACACAGGATCAATTCCCTATCTTGATGGGATTAAAGTCTTCCATGGGGGTTGGGGGTAGGCAAGGAAGCTGTCACACAGGCAACCAGCACAAGGCACACACCCCCTCCATTCACCCCTAGCTATTTCAGGTCGCCAAAGCACACCCAAGGTCTCACTTCCTGCCTCCTCTGATTAAAGGGGGGGAAAAAAACCCCACAAGATTGTTTAGTTAAAAATATCCTGTAAAGTCAAAGCAACATCTTTCTTCGAAAACAATAAAGGGGGAAAAAACTACAAAAAAGGACAGTGTAGTTGACTTTGGAAGACCCCCCCTTTGCCCCTCACCCACCCACCCTTCCTTTCCCCCTTCCTCCCATTCTCATTCTTTCTTTCTTTCTTTTTCTTTCTTTCTCCCCTCCCTTCCTTCCTTCCCTCCCTCCCCTTCCCCTCATTCTTTCATTTTTTCTTTCTTTCTCCCCTTCCTTCCCTCCCTCCCCCCTTCCTCCCATCCTCATTCTTTCATTTTTTGTTCTCGGTGGTCGCCCTTCCCTTCCAGACGCGCAGCGTGTAGTTTGTTGGTTTTGTGTTCCTCC